CCGACCGAGTCGAAGCCTTTTCCGTCGTCTGTCGACTTTTCCTTTCGGTGGCGGAAATGGCGGAACGCGTCGCTCCGCCGTCGAGAGGGCAGGGCGCCCCCTGCCGCTCGGGAGTGTGCGAAGGGACTCGCGTCCGGACGACGACCTCGCGCGCCGATTCCCCACCGCGGAGGCGCGCGTGAAAGCTCGCCGTTGGAACTTCACCCCATTTGGCTGAAGAATCTCCACTCGACCCAGCTGCAATTCAAAGACACCGCCGCTGTGCAAAAAGAATTCAGATGACAACAAAGAAGAAAACCGTTGTTGATTCGTTCCAAAGGTGGCTTTCTTCATCCGTAGTACAGTATGTCGATGCATGCCGCGAATGCACTTCCGTTCCGTTCCGTTCCGTTCCGTTCCGTTCCGTTCCGTTCCGTTCCGTTCCGTGGTAAAAGAGGGTAGACCTTGTGCCGTTCCTGCAATGGCATGAGCGTTGTGTCCATTCCTGCCCAAAGCAATTGCATTCAAGAAGCACAATATAGAGCGCACACGCGTGAAAAAAGAAAATCAGTCATTTGTCTCAGGGGGCATGTTTTTCAGGACCAAACAAAGACGTGACATGACTGAGAGATACCGCCGCTCCTTCCTACCGACTGCTGTCAGGCTGCTGAATAAAAATAAATCAATCAATAAAATTCATTAAATGATGTGAAAACAATTGTAAATAGCGCTGCGACCTTATCCATATTTGTATTGATGTTGCACTTCATTAAACAATTTCTTCTTTCTACCCACAATCTTGCTGCTGTCGGCTGTAAATTTCCCCAGTGTGGGACAAATAAAGGAGATCTTATCTTATGACATCAAAGTCTGGAAAGTGGCATCAATCACAGCAGGATGCAGCCGCTGACAGTCGGGCCCCAAACCAATTCTGCAGTAGCCACCTCCTGAAACCCGCACACGCGTTTGGAGCCCTCCTTCGAAATGCAGCCCTTTTCAAAGCCTACTTGCAAACACAACTCTTCTTGACAACACTCCTTGTAGCTTCGAAGCTTCATTTGAAACCGCGAGCCCGGCTTCAAATCCGAAATGGAAAACCTCAAGCCCAGTTGAAAAGCCTCCGGTGCGACCCGAAGCCTTGTTTAAAACCCGGCCGGCCGAAGTACGCAGTCGGGTGCTGTGCCGTGGATGCCCCCCGCCACGCCCCGGTAGCCCCACCCTCTGCGCGCCCCTGCAGCGAGGGCGTCAACGCTTCGCTTCTTCTATTCAACAGGCCCAAATTCCACAGCGAGCGGGTCGAATCGGGAGTCGATTGCGACGAGATCGTCGGTGTTTGCGCTTTTTCCTTTTTCTCCGGCAAAATGGGCGCCTTGGCTGGCCAACGCCGACTCGCTCTCCATCTCGGCACTGTTCACAGCCTGTCGAGTGTGCAGAAAAGTGACAGAGAAGAGCGCCGTTGACAAATCTGCCAATTGGAGTGCAAAGTCGATGAGTCAGGCTTCAAAATGGTGAAAAAGGAGGACGTGTGCGCTGGAGAGGCCCGAAACGCAGCCGCTCCACTCGTACCGAAGGTCACCGTCACGACGCGCCACCAGGACTCGCCCTGGGGGGGTTCATTCTCATTCTCATCATCTCGCAAGGCAAAAACAAAGCCTTCTCTCCAACGCGCCCCCACCCACATGGAACGCATCAGTGAAAAGAAACTAAAGAGTCGCTCGAGCGCTCCCCCCCCCCCTCACCAGTGGGTGGCCACGCCTTTTCCAGAGTCCACCAAGTATTTTCAGGTGTCACGCCCCCACCCAAAAAAAACAGGGGGCGACCTGTTGGCAAATGGGAGAAAATGAGCATTTCCAAGCAGCACCGTCGGCTTCGTCACCAAAGAACGAGAAAGAGAGTCCAGGCCGGCGTCGAGGCCTAACAAAGGGAGACCTCGACATCGGGAGGATTCCGACGCTACGCGTCTCACAGCGCCATCGGCAGCAGAGACCGGAAGAGTCACAGAAAAAACCTCCTCGGCTTTTGCCGCCGCTCGTCTCGTTGCCCGCGCAAGTGCCGAAAGGCCAAAGGCTTCCTTCCAGACCTTTCGAGAAGCTGAAACCGAGTTGGCCCGCAAAAGGTGCTCGCGCGTTTTGGAATTTCGGCCCAAAGGTCCAGAAGGTGAACCTGTTTGTGCCGGAGGCGCGAGTCACATGCTTGGAGAGGACGACGAGGAGGATGGCGATGCCCACGTGGAAGTCAGGGAGCGTTTGTGTGTCCGCTTTGTGTCAGAAGCAGGACTTGTGCTGACCGCTTCCTTCCTGCCCCAGCAGAGAGGACAGAAGGCGCTGACTGCGGCAAGTCTCTCTGGTCGCCCGCGCACTCTCGCCTCGGCAATCGCTTCCGGGCCGGACGAGCGACGAGCCCGAGGGTCGGCTTGCAAATTGCTGACGATTGCCAGAACGGCGCCGAGCGCGCAGGTCCCGGCCGACGTCGGCGTTCCCCGAGCTGACCTTTGCCCGCCCCTGCGGCGGAAACGCCGCACCAACGCGTGGGCGGCCCCGCTGGAGCGCCAGATGCGGATGACGCCAAACTCAAGAGAGCGCACGACCCCTCCGTCCCATCGGCTCCTCCCGTGAGCGCTTCAGAAAACGGACCCTTTCCCTCCTGTTGCAAAACGAAGAGCCGCTCCGCATGGGCCTTCTAGACGACAAACGATCGGCGTCATCGCTGAAAACCAATCTGTCCAATTCTCCACATTTCACAGCGACTCACGAGACTCGTGAGCAAATGAACGCAGATCGTCATCATTTGAGAATACTGGGGGCCCTTTTTGGGACGCCAAACTTGGCCAATGTTGCGCAATAAACATCGGGGAGCACCGCGCTACGGTCGAGAGCGCCGCGTGTGAAAAAGTGCTGATCAGGATGATTTGGAAGGTGAAGTGAGGGACTGCCCCCACCCCCCCACAGGATGTCCTGTTTGCTCTGTGGGGGAGAAACCGGGAGAGGCCGGCGCGCAGCTCAGACATCCGTCGACATCGGAGCCGCAAAGCATTCGCCGCCGCTCCGCGGGCCAGGAACACTTCAGCATCCGAGCGGCTCCGAGCCCAGCAGTCATCCGCCGTGCCGCGGGCGCCCTTTCCATCTTCCCGGGTGGACTTTGCCGGACTTCCTTATCAGGTGCTCACTTGTAAATACTCGATTGATCGTTGACGTGTTTTGATGACCCATTTGAAAGCAAAGGCTTCCTAAAACCTGGACGGCGCATGAAAGCTCCAGAACGCGCCGCCGTTCAATTGAGCACACACAAAAAAAAGCAAGCACGTGAAAAACGTGGCGCACTCTCGAACGGTTTGACGTCGGGGTAGCCCGGCTCCGGCATCGGTGAGCGGTGGTCGGGGTCTCACGGGGGCGTCTCTGTGCTTTCCAGGGGAGTCGGAGATGAGCGGCGCCGAGCGCAACGGCTCGCAGGCGCCGGCCAACGGCTCGCCGTGGTTCGTGTACGAGTGCACCCTGGAGCTGGACGCCGAGTACCGGCGCATCTGCCTGTTCCTGCTCTACCTGTCGGTGTTCGTGGCGGGCCTGCTGGAGAACGCGCTGGTGCTGTGGGTGAACTGGCGGCGGCGGCGCTCGGCCGGCGGCGTCCTCTTCTGCGTGCTCAACGTCAGCCTGTCGGACAGCATGGTGATCGCCGTGCTGCCCTTCTTCATGCTGGAGGTGACGGTGGAGCGCGTGTGGCTGTGGGGCCGCTTCCTGTGCAAGCTGACCACGCTGGTCTACGGCGTCAACTTCTACAGCAGCTCCTTCTTCCTGGCCGCCATGACGCTGGAGCGCTACCTGGCGCTGAGCCGGCCGTCGGGGCCCGCCCTGTTCCCGGCGGCGGGGCGGCGGCGCTGGGCCCTCTGCGGGGGCCTGTGGCTCCTGTCGCTGCTGCTGGCGCTGCTGGAGAACGTCCACGTGGACCTGCTGGAGTGGGACGAGCCGGGCTGCTACATGCTGCCCGAGGGCAACTACGCCGAGTGGTTCGCCTCGGTGGCCTTCCTGTGCCTGATCTTCCAGTTCCTGGGGCCCGCCTGCGTCATCGTGACCTGCAACGCGCTGATCGCCCGGGCCGCGCGGCGGGCGGCGCCCGACGTTTTTCTGGTGCACGTCTACTCGCTGGTCTTCCTGGCCTGCTGGCTGCCCTACCACCTGGTCATGATGCTGATGATCATCATCGACCTGTCGCCCAACCTCTTCAGCTGCAACGTGGTGGAGTTCGTCTACTTCTCCTTCAGCGTGGTGCAAAGCCTGACGCTCTTTCACTGCGTGGCCAATCCCGTCCTCTACAACTTCCTGAGCGATGACGGGGAGGAGGGGGGGAGACGGCCGGCGACGCGGGCCCGCGACGCAAGTCGAGTGACGTCAGCACCGGCCATTCTGAAGTCGGGCCCTGAACGCTTCTTCGCTGGGCCGCTCAAGTGACTCCCTTCCTCGTTCGGACTCTTTGGGCAACATACCAAGGCCCGCGCATGACAAATCGTGGCTACGATATCGATAGAAGCGGCGAACGGGTTGCTCAGTTGTGACCGCAAAACACATTTCTCAGGAACCTCCCCCCCCCAAAAAAAAAAAATGAGCGGTCACATTTCCAGATGAACCTAAAGTGCACAAAAGTGGCCCGCGGCGATGATGTTCCTTCTCATTGGTTGACGTATATTTTCCCATTTGTATTGTTCAGGGCAAAATTGGGGACTCGGTTAAAAAGAAATGACTGTTTAATTTGGGGGGTCAGGGGGTGGGGGTAAAAAATGCAAATAAGCGGAGGGTTTAGGTTAAAAAAAAAAAAAAAAAAAACCCGCCCCCAAAAAACAAGACACATTACACGATGAAACTTGACATGCTAAATGTTTTTTTTTGGTTGAGTTGATACGGGGAAGCAAAGGTGTTTTTCCCGCATCCCTTGATGCTCGCGCGGTGGATGTTTGCTGTCCGGCAGCCAGCCTGGGATCCAAGCTGGCCGTGAGCCCTCTCGCAAGCCATTTTCTCCCTCTCAACGAGCGCCATCTCATTCATCCTTCTTGAATGTCAAAAAAAGTCCATCAATGTCCACAGATTGGAGCGAAACCTGAGCTGCTTTCTTCACTCTTTTGGCAAATCTTTGGCAAGATGTAAGACCTTTGTTCTTGTTTTTTCTTGTTCCACTTCCAATGTGGAATTTGGCCGACTTGACAGTTTGAACGACAAGCAAGAGGAAGAGCTGGCCTTCGTACAATGGCAGGAAGAGGACAACGGGAATTGGATGAGGTGCAGGGGTCGCACAAATGTGCCAAGTCATCACCAGCCTGCTGGCGATGGCCGGTTG